CAAATATCATATATACATGCGTACGTAACTAAATATTTACATTATAAAGCTTGAGAATATGCTTTCGGTGGACCATCAGAATGTTATTAAGTTCTATGGTGTCACAAAATTTAAAGGTAAAAATTACCTATTTAATAAAATGCACTATTCCTAATGGGTATAAAAAAAATCGATTTATTATTCCTGATGAGTTCCGAAACCGATTTCTCATAACAGTTACTTGGATTATAATGAGAATGCTAAAGTCATGACCTATGATTGATACATAATATTGATCTCAACATTTGGTCCTTAAAATCCCTTGTACTGAAACCTTAATGATTGAAAGCTGGTTGATATGCGTTATTTCCGATTTCTCGATTTATTTTTGAATTTATATGTTACATATTGACTTGCAGTACGATCAAATTGGTAATAATAATTGAGATGCCAAATTTTACATCATGGCTTTAATACTTCGATAGTAACGTAGGAACGACACGTAGATCGACCTTTTTTCCTATCCCATCGGGAATAGTGCCAACTACAGTCGACTCTGGATATAACGAACCTTCCTATAACGAACTTAAACATTTGAAATTTCATGATAGTTCGGTATAAAAAGTTGCATGGGTTCTTAAGAAAACATAGTAATATTCCCTATAACGAACTTTTTTCTTCCAGAATCTTCAGTTCGTTATAGAAAAAGTTGACTGTATTCATCAAGAACGGTATTTTTGCATTACCTGCACTATAAATAATTAATCTTTACATAATAGATCAAGTGGATGAAGATATTGTTAAATATGCACTTGTACTTGAGTATGCAGATAGTGGCACCTTGCACGATTTTTTTACACGACAATGCGACCAAAATTGAGTGGGAATTGAAATTTCAATTTGCGATCCAACTAGCGGGTATGCGTAAATGTTATTAAAATTTATCAGTTTATTTCTAATATATTAATGGAATTTTAACTTTAAAGACGCAGTAAAATTGTTACACGCGTCTGATATTGTTCACGGGGATTTGGTAATTCAGGTTCTCATTTTTATAATCATTATGAATGTTTTAATGTTAATTAAGATCAATTTTTTTTTCTTTTAAACCTTGAAAAGCACTCCAGTAACATCCTCATTCATAAAGGGGTTTTAAAATTAGCCGATTTCGGATTATCACAACGCATCGTTCAATCAACCAGGTCTAGAACTACAAGTAAAATTCTTGGAATAGTGCCATATATCGACCCTGAGTGCTTCATGCAAGAGGATGATCAAGACGGAATATCTCGTAGACGTAGAATAAATAAAAAATCAGATGTTTATAGTGTTGGTGTTCTTTTGTGGGAAATATCAAGCGAAAGGCCACCATTTGAAGGTTATGATCTGACGACCCTACCATCCAGGATAATAGAAGGTCTGAGAGAGAAACCAATTCCTGGTACAAATGAAAGATATATTGCCATTTATGAAAGTAGGTTTATAATTTATATATTATTATACTTTATATATGGATATTATTAACATTCCTTTAATTAGAATGTTGGCAAAATAAACAAAGTGATCGACCAACTATTAATGAAGTGTCAATAGGGTTAAACGATATTGTCAACCCTTTTTATAAAGATCTTTCTTATCATGATGTCCCAGTTAGTGAAATTGATATATCTGAATTTAGAGACTTCTTTAAGGAATATGTCAATACTATTTTCGATGAACCTTTGACAGTTCCACCAACTCCAGAATCTCATGCCAATGAACAAGATCCTAAAGCTACCTTTATAAATGAACTTTACTTGAATTTTTGTAACATGTTTAACAAAGGTATGTCCGTTCCTAGGACAATTAAAAAATATATATCTAAAAATGGAAAATCAGAAAGTGTTGTTTTAAATTGGTTATATCTTAAAAATGAGCCAAAATATGTTTGTCTTCGCGGAATATTCTATATGTGGAATATTGGTACGGAAGAAGAAAATAAGATGGATGTATTTAGTTTATTCCTCGATGCTGGAAATAGAAATGATGCGGTTGCACAATATTTTATTGGAAGATTTTTCGAAGTTGGTTGGAACACCAAGAAAAATTTGAAAAAGGCAGTTGAATGGTATAATAAGGCAATTAAAAATGGATCCACAGCAGCGGAACGAATACTTGGAGATTATTGTTATAAATGCCAAGAATATTCTCAAGCATTTAAATTGCTC